TATATATATATATTATTAGCGTTGTTGTTGGTTAATTTGTTGATATTGTGGCTGTTGTTGTTTTTGTGGTTGTTGTTGTTGGTTAATTGTGATTGGATGGCAGCAATGTAATGCTGCCTTTATAGGATGGATATTGGTTGTAATTGGCATGTGGTGTAGCTTAAAAGCATGCATATTCTGCCAGGTTTTTACCCAGAAAACCAATTGATTTTCGTCGGAATTCTCAGATTAAAACCCAGAAATTCAAAATTTCCGACCGAGGTCGGTCGGTAATTTCAATTTGAAATCTGCAGACATTTGAAATTTTCGACTGAAGTTGACCGGGAATTTATTTTTTATTATACCGACCGATTTCGATCGGTTTGTTAAAACTTACAAAGAAATACAAAATTGTTATATATTCATAATTCCGACCGAAGTCGGTCACTATTTCTAAAAATAAATAATTTAAATAATGCCGACCGACTTCGGTCAGTATATTTATTTTTTCAACAAAAGTTATCAGTCAAAGCGTTGAATTAATCGACCATCTTCGGTCGAAAAATTGCGATCGCCTTCGATCGCAACACCTTAGCGACCATTATTTTTTCCGACGAATTAAAAGCAATCGGAAATTGTTCACTTTTCTTTAATTCCGATTGATTTTGATCGGTTTTAGTGGACGAAATTTGATAGTTTTCTAGTAGTGGTTATCGGGAGTGATAATTCATATGGACGATTGCAACATCTTCCGTAGTTGTTATCATAGTTTAGCTTTTGTGTATTTCTTGCAAATATAAGTATGTGGTTTCTCTCTCATGGCGGCTAGGACCTGATTTCGCTTTATAATAAAGTGGCATTTTTAGGATAGAGCCGAGAGACCAATGCAGATATTATAATGGAAACAACGTTTCAAAATCTATTTTACCTAACAGGTCGAATTAGCCGCCATGAAGAGTCATATGTTTTTTAATAATTTATTCATTTATTCGGACTTTTTTAGTGTGGCTCACGGGTAGGCCTATTACCATATAATCCTGACCATACTGCTCCTAATATAATAATATATTTGCCCCCTTTCAACTTTAATCCAATTTTATTTTTTTATAAATAAAAACTATCATACTATAATGTCCGGACGAGGACCTTGACATTACAAACCAGAATTATGGCATCCAAATCTTCAACAAAACTTGCTCTTTTCACTGTCCTCCTCCTCTTGTTTACCATTGGTTAGTTCCCTTCCCCCCTCCCCTCTCTATTTATATACATATATACATGCAGTGGTGAAGCCACATGGTCACAAGGGTGGTCAATTGACCAACCTTCATCGAAAGATTGCATTGTGTATATAGGTAAAATATTACGTTTTAGAGGTATATAACACATATTGAACACTCTTTGTCGGGATTTTTTTTTCACTTCTTTTAAATTTGAATACCCTTGGCAACCCGTATCAATCTATTTGTTTTTTAGTCTGTTTAAAAATAAATTTGACCCCTTTTAAATTTAAACATAATTTAACTTAATGATAAGATTTTAGAGCCATGCAAATACTATTGTATGTTTATGATCAAAATTATTATATGCACGCAAATATTATAGCTTGTGTTAGGACGAATTTTAAAGGTTTATATATTTTTCTTAAACTTGGTGCATAGTCAAAAAGTTGACCTAAATTGAAAGGAGGAGAGTAATCTATATATGTATATGTTTCTTCATGTCCATGCATATGCTTATTTATTACGAGTGCAAAATTGAAGGTTAATGACAAACACTTTGTAGTTGCAACGTCTGGAAGGGTAGAACCAGAGGCGATAGAAGAAGTACTAGTAGGTGATGAAGGAGCAATGGCAACAATAGAGCTATTAGTGCTGCAGCACCAGCAAAATGACAGATGCACATATTATCGTTGTCACTCTGATTCTCATTGCAAAAAGTTTTATTGCTCTAGATGTTCTTCGGACATCGTGGGTAGGGGTGTTTGTATGACTTAATTGTACCAACATGTGTAATATGCCCTTGGGAGAGAGCCTGGGCTGGTACTTTCACATACCGTAGTTTTCTTTTAAATAAAAGGCAATGTCTCTCCCTTGTATCAAGAAGACTCGATAGTCATGTGTTTTTACCAAAGGCAACTTCTCTTTTGCCCCTCCATCATCACTCTACGTTTCATAAGTATATCTATCATTTTTGCTGCTATTGCTTTCATCTTTTGCGTGCTCACAAAAATTATTATTTAGAAAACAAATTAAGCAAAAGAAATATTGAAAAGAGTAGATTAGTCAACTCATAATTTTTGTTTTACTACTTTTTCTGTCCCAATTTATATGATAATGTTCAAATTCGAGAGTCAAACGAATTATTTCTTGATCAATATTTTATTGTCTTTTAATATTTTGAATTATGAATTATCGTAATTTATAATACCTTTTTACATAATTTACAAATATGTAAATTTTATTTCGAATAACTTAAAGATTCTATATTCAAATACACGATCAAAATTAAAAAGTTTAAATCTCGGGAAACGAAAAGTGTCATATATTTCCTCCGTTCACCTTTACTTGTCCACTATTGACTTTGTGCGTCCCTTAAGAAATAATAAATAAAGGACATTATTTACCATGATACACATATTAATTGGTGTATAGTCTTAATGAATTTGAAAATGATTTGGAATGAGTAATTAATGCTAAGGGCAAAATAGAAAAAAAAATTATTTTTCTCTTGATATGCGAAAAGTGACAAGTAAAAATGAAAATTTATTTTTTTAGTATATTTGACAACTAAAAGTGAGTGAAGGGAGTAAATTTGGAACAGAAAAAGTAATAAATAGGTTAACAAATTATTCTCTCATGTCCACAATAAGTAACCAATTTGTCTTTTTATTTTAGTCCAAAATAAGTGTCCATTTATATAATCAAGAAAAATTCAATTTGTTTTTCTAAAATTACCCTTACGTACGTATCCCTAAAAGTCTTTTACTCTTCACATTAAATTATGCTGCAACATTTAATTAAGGATAGTTTAGTTACACTAACTATTTTTGTCCAGAATTTAGTATTTCCTTAATGGGTGTACAACGCAAATTAATCACTTATTGTGGACCGGAAGGAGTATAAGCATAATATCGCAAATCACGAGTGAAATGTCTGAAGTTATTCTTTTTAGAATTTAATTTAAACATGTAAGATGAATCCGCTGTCCAAGAATTTGACTCAGAAGGCATTTGAAGCTGGAGTTAGTGCCCAAACATTATTCCCTCCGGTCCAAAATAAGTGATTTTTAGTTGTTTTCATACATATTAAGAAATTCACCTTTTAACATTAATTAGCAATAAAATTGATTATATTAACCTTTACTATCTCTTCAAATAAATACTCCTAACACATACTCCAACATTAATTACTCCAAGGGCAATGTAGGAAAAAAATAATTAATTCATTCTTGAAATCTGGAAAAATCACTTATTTGGACCACAAAAAAAAAGTCAAAAAATCACTTATTTTAGACCGGAAGAAGTAATAAATAGGAGTCCACAAAAACATGGAAGACGAATTCGTGTTTTCCAACTGCTCAAAAGAATAGGCCGACACCTAATTTTCAGGCTGATTAGCATGAGATAGTTGCGGATAACTATCTACAAGGAATTTCTAAACATTTCCAAGCATGAAGAGCCCTTTGCTTCATTTGTTTTTTTAAAATTAACATATTTAAATTTGGATGCATATCTGATCATTACAATGTGTATTAAGATTAAAATATACAAATCCGAATAAACATCAGAATATTTATATATTGTCTTAATATTTAAGTACTGAATAATTAGGACTATTTATTTTCTCAATATCCGAATATATGAAACTTATCTTTATTTAAAATAATAAATATAAATTAAATTAGATACTAACTAATGTAATACTTTATTATTAAAATAATTGCAAAAGTTTATACGATGTTTAGTGGTGTGGCAATGGCTAACGGTGATGGTTGTAGATGCCGACTGGATAGTGGTTAGTGATGGTGTTGGTTGATGGTGGTGGTTATATAGACATGATGGATGATAATAGTAATTAATGGTAGTAGTTGATGGTGGTGATGACTGAAAATGGTTGTAGGTGATATATGGTGGTATAGTGGTGACTGATGATTGTTGTGACGATGTTGGTTGGGGTTATAGTAGTAAATAGTGACTAGCGGTAATGACAACTGAAAGTCGTGATTGGTAGTGTTGGTCGTTATGGCGGGGGATAGTAGTAGTGGGCGGCAACAAATGGTGGTTAGTCTATAATAGGGGGGAATTAGCAGTAGCAACAATGATGGTTACTGGTGAAAATGTATGGAAAAATGGTGAAATGTCATTTTTGCATAAATACTTGAATGTATAATATCTTAGTGATATTAAGACTATATGATAGATCTTAATTATGAAAATCTATTCAGGCGTCATTTGTTTGCACTTAATGGAGGTCTGAATCTTAATCATTCAGATCTCAGACATTAAGTGCGTTTGTTTTTAAGGTTTGAATCTTGACCATTTAGATCTTAATCATTAAGTGTGTTTATTTTTTTTACTTCACAATCACTTAATAGGTCTAAATAGGTATGCATGATTAAGATCTATAACAAAGACTTAATTTCATTAAGATGCTATCATACGCATTCATTACTAATTGCCGTCACCGCCTACCATTATCAATAACTACCACCACAACCATCCTCAACCATACCGCCATCACTACCACCACCCACCATCCCCATCACCATCTGCCTCAACCAAAACCACACACTCGCCAACCTCAATTACTACAACCAACCACCCTATCACCATCAATAATCATAGCCGACATTGTCCACCATTATAAACTACCTCCACCCACCATCATCTTTCCCAATCACAACCACAACCACCACTTATCATTATTAACTATCACCATCCACCACCACCATCCTCAATCATAGTCGCTATCGCTATTGTCACGACCCAAAATCTCTCATGTCGTGATGGGGCTATCTCAATATTAGGGAAGCCGACAACCTCAATAAGTCACAAAATGTCCTTAAGTTTGAAAACATAATAAATAGATTTAAGAGAAAATCTCACAAATACTGATACAAATATTGTGTCTCTATACAATTCACTCCCAAAATTCGGTATCATTAAGTACATGAGCATCTAAATAATAACATAGTCTGACTGATAAAAACACTGTCTAGAAATATAGAACGGTACTGTTTACCTTGAAAATGGCAATTACAATTAGAATTGATTTTGTGGTTCTAAAAATATGTGATCTAGTTTTATGCTAGTTGTTGGGCAATAGATCCTAAGTGAGAGACTAGAAAATAAGATAATAGCTTGAAATCGGCGTAATAACCAAACCGAATGGCGGAAAATCGGGGGCCTCGAGCTTGCGTATTCGGGGCCTCAAGGCAATCGATAGGGGGTTAACAGTTATAACAGCCTTGATGGAGGCCTTTTATGACCAATAATGAGCAATAAATGAAGAACAATAAATAGAACACTATGAATATAAGCAGTAAATGTAAGTAGTAAAATCAAGAGAATATGTTAAGTTAGAGAGCAAAGAGAATGTTCTTGTATTGAATGTAGTCTGTTGTCCCCCTTTACAAAATGACAAAGGTCCCCTTTATAGATGAGGAGAATCCTATTATAGTACAAATGCATTTATTATAAAGATATGGGGCTGGTACAGCCATTTAATGCCATGATACGGGATTGGACTAGCCTAATAGACTCTGCCAGCTTTAATCAAGTGCATCTGCGCTGCCTCGGAGTTGATCGTTTGGAAATCCTTCGAGGTTACATCTCGAGTTTCGCCTTGAGCCCTAGCAGGGGTATCTATGGAGCGTCGTAATGGACACGAAATCGGCTCCTCTGATTTCACCGTATACAGGTACAAATAACTGAAAGGAAAGAGAGTCAAGGTCTGCAGACGCCAAGGCAGCTACCTCGATAGTCTCCAACAGATAAATCACCAAAATCTAGCAGCCGCCATATCCGAAGTATCTGGATCTGCACACGAAGTGTAGAGCTTAGTATGAGTACAACCGACCCAATGTACTCAATATGTAACAAGACTAACCTTTGGGCCGAAAGTAATGACGAGATTAACAGGTACAATCCAATTATAGAAATAACAGTACAAAAATATATACATGCTTTCTAGTTTAACAATTAAACACAATACAAGTAAAATAGATCAAATCTAAATGATATGGGGAAATATGGTATCTCTATGTCTACATGCCAATGTACATGTCGCACGTGATGCATCATAATGTAAGTCTCACGTACTCACACTCTTAGAGTACTCAATCACTTAGTACTGTACGGGGCAAATCCAGCCTAGGGAAGATCGATTCCAAATATAAATTTCAGCTGAACAAAAGTCCAGGGAAAATTCATCCCCAAATATAAATGATTAGGGCACTCCAGCCCTGGGAAGAACCATCTCAAATATAAATATCAAAGGCGCTCACTGTAGGGGGGGGGGGGGGTAAGTGGAAGACTCGTGT